AAAAAAAAAAAAAATTCCACCTAACAAATTAGGGTGATTCTCAGGTAATTGGATTTTTCCTTCTTGGGAATACATCCCGGTCTTACTAAACTAGCAATAGTCCTGTTCGTGTGTACAGAAATAATGATTTGACTATTAACCTGAAATGATTACCTTTATATTAGTAGTGCTAATAGCATTTAATAAGCCAAATAAATATTAGGTAATTTATATTGTTTTCTTTCCTCTGTAAATTCCTCTGATAAATAATAACTGTGTCTCTGGGCTTTTTTATAGGTTAAAAATGTGTCTGCAGGCACACAAGACATGCCTCCGCCCCTCTCTGACTATGCGGAGAGAGTTGACGGTTCCTTGGCATACTCTTCCAATGGCAAAGTGAACGACAAGCGGTTTTATCCAGAGTCCTCCTATAAATCCACACCGTAAGTGGCATCTCTTAGTTGACAGATCAAGTCCAAAAACAAATATTTGGGCTGGGTGCGGTGTCTCATGCCTGTAATCCTAGCACTTTGGGAGGCCAAGGTGGGTGGCTAGCCTGATTTTAGGAGTTCAAGACTAGCCTGAGTCAGAGTAAGACTGTCTCTGAAAATAGCCGGGTGTTGTGGCAGGCACCTGTCGTCCCAGCTACTCTGGAGGCTGAGGCAAGAGAATCTCTTGAGCCCAGGAGTTTAAGGTTGCTATAAGCTCTGATGCCATGGCACTCCACCCTGGGTGACAGAGTGAGACTGTCTCAAAAAAAAAAAAAAAAAACAAAAAACCCTGAATATTTTAACATATTTAAAAACCACTTACTGTTTTTTGCATTTTCCTTTAAAAAATCCAACAGTGCCTATAGAAGGTAAAGACTAATCTTTATGTTACAAAGGCTTAGGGCTAGAGGACCAAAATGAGGGTGGGGTCCTCTTTCCCTACTGAATTGAAAATACTTTTCACTTGCTTAATTAAAAGGCTGGGTTGGGTTCTCCTTTCCTATTTCTGGTTTTGAAGTTTAGGCAAGGATTAAAGGAAGTTACTGAGCGGTGCCATGCTCAGTCTCTCTCCTTGGGCTATCATTAGATTTCGTGAATAGAAGGGGGAAATTACACATTGCTCAACCCTGTGCACATACATTTCTGCTAAACTAGAAGACTTCGTTTGGATTCAGGGCTTCTAGTATCTTCTTGACTGTGCTTGCTTCTCCATATTGCTGGGAGACTCACCCCCACGAGTGCTTGGCCCATGGTAGGTGCCATTATGGTTATCGAAATGGTATCACTGTAGTGGACACATTTACCCTAAAACCCAATTGTATGATTCAGACTAATGACTAGTGATGAAAGAAGGATGTTGGAGGTTGGTCATGGACTTTGATGTAATTTTTGCCTAAGGATGATAAATTAGTGTTCCTTAACGATGGAAGGGTGTATTCTGAGAAATGAGCCACAAGGAGATTTCATCCTCGTGTGAATGTCATAGAGGGTCTGAACACAAACCTAGATGGTGTAGCCTACTGTATACTTAGCCTATATCATACAGCCTGTTGCTCCTGGGCTCTAAACTTGTACAATGCATGACTGTACTGAATACTATAAGCAGTTATAGCATAGTGGTCAGTATTTATGTATCTAAACATAGAAAAAGTACAGTAGAAATATGGTATAAGAGATAAATATTGTACACCTGTGTAGGGCAGGTCCCATGAATGGAGCTTACAGGACTGGAAGTTGCTCCAGGTGAGTCAGTGAGTGGGGAGTGAATGTGAAGGCCAGGACCCTGCTGTGCACTACGGTAGACGTTATACTTACACACACTGTGCACTTAAGCTACACTAAATTCATAAAATCTTTTTTTGTTTGTCGGCAATAAATTAACCTTAACTTACTGTAACTTCAGTTTGTGTATGTCTGTATGTGTGTGCTGAGACAGAATCTCACTCTGTTGTCCAGGTCAGAGTGCTGTGGCATCAGCCTTGCTCACAGCAACCTCAGACTCCTGAATTCAAGTAATCTTCCTGCCTCAGCCTCCCATGTAGTGGGTACCACAGGCACTGGCCATAATGCCCAGCTACTTTTTCTATTTTTAATAGAGACAGGATCTTGCTTTGCTAAGGCTGGTCTCAAACTCCTGAGCTCAAGTGATCCTGCTGCCTGGGCCTCCCAGAGTGCTGGGATTACATGGGTGAGCTGCCACAGCCTAAACTATTACTTACTTTCTTTTTCTTTTTTTTTTTTTGCCGGGGCTGGGTTTGAACCCACCACCTCCGATATATGGGGCCAGCGCCCTATTCCTTTGAGCCACGGGCGCCACCCTTTTTTTTTTTTTTGAGATGAAGTCTCAAGCTGTCCCCCTGGGTAGAGTGCCGTGGTATCATAGCTCACAACAACCTCCAACTCTTGGGCTCAAGAGATCCTCTTGCGTCAGTTTTTCTATTTTCAGGAGAGATGGGGGGCTCTCTCTTTTGCTGAGTCTGGTCTTGAACTGGTGAGCTCAACCCTCAACCCTCCTCGGCCTCCCAGCGTGCTAGAATTACAGGTGTGAGCCACTGTGCCCGGCCTAAGTTTAACTTTTTAATTCTTGTAATAACACTGAGCTTTAAACACAAACACATTGACTTTTTTTTTTTTTTTTTTTTTTGGAGACAGAGCCTCAAGCTGTCCCCCTTGGGTAGAGTGCTGTGGCATTACAGCTCACAGCAACCTCCAACTCCTGGGCTCAAGCGAGTCTCCTGCCTCCGCCTCCCAAGTAGCTGGGACCACAGGCGCCCACCACAACGCCCGGCTATTTTTTGGTTGCAGCCGTCATTGTTGTTTGGCGGGTCCCGGCTGGGGATTCGAACCCGCCACCCTAGGTGTACGTGGCTGGCGCCTTAGCCAGTTGAGCTATAGGCACCGAGCCGACATTTTTTTAGTATTAACATTTTATAAGCTTTTTTTCTATTTTTGACATTTAGTTTTTTCTTTTTAAACCTTTCTGTCAAAAACTAAGATATAAACACATTTGCATAGGCCAGCATAGGGTCAGGATTATCAATATGTCTTCTGCTGTCCGTCACATCCTGCCCTACTGAAGCATCTTCATGGGTGGTAATATACATGGAACTAGCATCTCCTAGTTAATATTAAAAAAATTTCAGTATGTTTGTGTTTAAAGCTCAGTGTTATTACACTGAGCAATGCCTTCTTCTGGAATAACTCCTTAAAGACTTGCCCGAGTCTGTTTTACAGTTAACTTATTTTTTTAAATGAATGGAGTGTACTCTCAAATAATGATAAAAAGTATAGTGCAGTAAATAAACCAGTAACGTGGTTGTATATTATTACTATCAAATATTGCGCAGTGTACATAGTTGCACGCACTATACTTTTATTGGTCCATAGTTGACTGAATGTCATTATGACTACATGACTGTAATTCTGGAACTCCAGATTCCTTTGGAGACCCCTGCCCCCCAAAAAACCTATTAAACTTCCTTTTAGCTAGTTTGAGCATTCGAAGTTAAATGTGTATAACTGGAAAGCTTTTTCTGTTATTTCCAAGATGTATCCCCAACTCCTTACTTTCATTTAGTAAGCCAGGTTATGCAGAGATCTACTTTAAGTGCACCTTAGTTTGGGCCTGGAAACCCATGGTATGACACCAGCTGCTGAGTTAATTATGGAATTAGTTTGAGGACAATAGGCCTCATTATTATCCTGGAATGGAGAAAGATTGATGGTCTGCCTAACCTGCCTTCAACCCCCACATACATGTTTTTGTTTTGTTCTTCAGAATCAACCTTGCTAGCCAGGCATTGTGGCAGGTGCCTGTAGTCCCAGCTACTTCGGAGGCTGAGGGAAGAGAATTGCTTAAGCCTACCCAAGAGTTTAGGGTTTCTAATGAGCTGTGACGCAACGGCACTCTACGGAGGGTGACATAGTGAAACTGTCTCCAAAAAAGAAAGAAAAAAAGAAATCAACCTTGCTGTTGATTTTAGATGTGAAGGATTTTGAGAGAGCACATTTTTTTCTTTTGTCCTTTATTCTCTTTGGATTTTGACCAAAACCACACTTGAGGCTGTTAGGGACAAAGGCTGTTAGGACCAAGTAGATAATCTTTCAAGTATTAAGCTGTGATTTGTAGGATTTTCAGACATACAAAGTAAATTCTATGCTGCATGTTGTGATCAGTTGTGCCTCTGGATTGTGAGGCCTGCATGGGTCACACAGCATTCCCAGGTGTCCCTTTTCTTGAAAATCAAGATAGTTTGGCATATTCATTTGGAACAATTTTAAAATCTTAGTTATTCTTAGGCCTGCTGTGGTGGCTCACGCCTGTAATCTAGTACTCTGAGAGGCTGAGGAGGGTAGATTGCTTGAGCTTAGGAGTTCAAGACCAACCTGAGTAAGAATGAGACCCCGTCTCTACTTAAAATAGTAAAACTAAGCAGGTGTTGTGGCAGGCGCCTATAGTCCTCATTACTTGGGAGACTGAGGCAAGAGGGTTGCTCAAACCTGGGAGCTTGAGGTTGCTATGAACTGCCAGGCCATGGCACTCTACCCAGGGTGACAGAGTGAGACTCTGTGTCTTAAAACAAAGCAAAAAGCTTTCATATAATGTAAAATTTAAAAGGGTCAAAATGTAGCAGGTACCTAATTCCTCTACCCAGAAGCCACTAGTGTCTCCAATTTCTTTTCTATCCCTCCAGAGATTTTAATAAATACGCTGGCCCAATGTGTGTATTAATCCCCCACCCCCTTACAATACTAGCGTTCTTTTTTTGAGTCAATTTCAAGCTGTAGCCCTGGGTGGGATAGGATAATAGCTGTGAGCCACCATGCCCGGCCAATACTAGTATTCTAAGTGCATTGTTAGCAGTATGTCTTGTCTTATAGAGATTGTTCATATCAGTATACAAAGAGTTTACTGATTCTGTTTGTAGCTGCACAGTAGCCTGCAAATGGATATACTATATTTTATTAATCCCATGCTGATGCCTACCCCTCCCCCCAATATTTTGTTGTTACAAACTGCTCCAGGGAATTACCTTAAACATTTATCACCTTGCATATCTGTGAATAAATACTATTAGGGCGGCGCCTGTGGCTCAAAAGAGTAGGACGCTGTCCCCATATGCCGGAGGTGGCAGGTTCAAACCCAGCCCCAACCAAAAACTGCAAAAAAAAAAAAAAAAAAATACTATTCGCAGAATTGCTGGGCTAAAGGCAATGTGCATTTTTTTCATTTTATAATGTAGTAAAATTGTATTCCATAAAGGCTGTACCAGTTTATACTCCCAGTTTAGACCCCAGAACTTTTTTTGAAGGTCTCTAGAAAATAATACATTATGTAATTTTGGAACTCAGATAAAGAAGAGGATGCGAATGATACTAAGAGATATAAATGCAATGGTATCTCACACAGAACCTGGTAATGATAAAAGAATTTGTTAGTGGTGTTCACAGCAGAGTACTGAAGACTGAGGAGGATTCAGAGAACATTCCCTTGGATGCAAATAAGAACACACAAGTCATAACCTGTGTTTCTTCTTTCTTTATTTATTTATTTAGAGACAGAGTCTCAATGTATTACCCTGGATAGAATGCTGTGGCATCATAGCTCACAGCAACCTTAAATTCTTGGGCTCAAGTGATTCTCTTGCCTGGTGGTTCTCAACCTTTCTAATACTGTAGCCCTTAATACAGTTCCTGTGGGTCGTAACCTACAGGTTGAGAACTGCTGCTCTTACCTCAGCCTCCCAAGTAGCTGGGACTATAGGGCCCTGCCACAATGCCCAGCTATTTTTTGTAGTTTTAGTAGAGATGGGGTTCCACTCATTCTCAGGCTGGCCTCAAACTCCAGAGCTTAAGGGATCCTCCCACCTGAGCCTACCCAAGTGCTAGGATTACAGGTGTGAACCACCATGCCTGGCCCATAACCTGTCTTAACACTTTCTCAAAGGTGCTTAGAAACTCATGAGCATCTGTCTTCCTTGCCACTCCTAGAATAGGAATTTGATGGAGAACAGTGTGTTTAGAAGACCATGTTAAGGATGAAGTGACTCAGTATTAAGATTTTGTTTTTTTTTTTTGGACTGAGTACCTGTGGCTCAAGAGGCTAAGGCACCAGGTGGCAGGTTCGAATCCAGCCCAGGCCTGCCAAACAACAATGACGGCTGCAACCAAAAAAAATAAATAGCCAGGCGTTGTGGCAGGCACCTGTAGTCCCAGGTACTTGGGAGGCTGAGGCAGGAGACTCGCTTGAGCCCAGGAGTTGGAGGTTGCTGTGAGCTGTGATGCCATAGCACTCTACCCAGGGGAACAGCTTGAGGCTCTGTCTCGAAAAAAAAAAAAAAAAAAAATTTTTTCCTAAAGCATAACATGCATTCAGTAAAAATAGCACTAATCTTTAGTATATAGCTTGATGATTTTTCTTGAATGTAAGCTCTTTAGAACCCCACCTCCACACCAAGAGAAGACATTGTGAATACCCCAAAGGGTCCCTGTTTTCCCTTTTCCCACCAATACTCCAACCCGCTTCAGGCCTGGCATGATCCAAGAACTCAGAAGCTTGCAGAGCTCTTGCATGTTTTGTCTTTTCTGTTGGTGTGTTGGCTTTATTTTCACGGTAGCTTCTGCTGTAGCAAAATGGCCATCCATATTCTCCAGGTTGTATTCATCTCTCCAGCCCAGGATTCAGAAAATAAGGTTTCTTTCCCGAGAGCTTACATATCAAAAGGATTCTGATTGGGTCCTTTTTGTGTCATTGTCATCCCCGAGGCCAGGAGAATGGAGTTCTCTGATTGGCAAAGTGTAGATATGCTTCCTAATAATGGCAGCAGCTCTGAAATTCTTCTTGTGTGTAATTAATAAGCATTCTGTCAGCCACGGCCCAGATGTTGGTGGGTGGTTTCTTTTCCTCCACTGATACTGTGTGTCATTCAAAAAGGATTGTTGGGAAAGTGTTTTCAATTCAGTAATTGTTTTAAACCTCTGCCATGGATAAGATACTGGGCCAGGTGCTCCTGGGAAAAACAAATCCATGTTCTCAAGGAAGTTGCAAAACAGGAAGAAAGTGCACAACAACTGTGTAAGAGTCAGGTCAAGAGACAGGGAACAGGAGCAACATGATGGAGTGTGGGTGGGAATGAAATTAATGGGCCAGTGCAGTGACTCACCTGTAATGTTAGCACTCAGGGAGGCCGAGGCAGGTGGATTGCCTGAGCTCACGGGTTCGAGACCAGTCTGAGCAAGAGTGAGACCCTGTCCCTAAAAATAGCTGGGCTTGTGGCGGGTGTCTGTAGTACCGGCTACTTAGGAGGCTGAGGCAAGGGGATCACTGGAGCCCAAGAGTTTGAAGTTGATGGGAGCTATGACACCATGGTACTCTAGCCTGGGGTAACAGTGAGACTGTCTCAAAAAATAAAACAATAAAGTTAATGACTAAAGAATAAAAGGAATGAATTCAAAAGTTGCAAAAGGATGGACTTCTGGACCTGGGAAACTAAGTGAAGTTGAGGGTGCCTGTGAAGTGCAGGGCTGGATACCACATTTGGGTTTACATGTATTTTGATCTAATAGAACCAATCTCTGAAAGAAGGTTTGATAGTTATTGGAGCTATCCCTAACTCTTGATTTATAAATACTTTTCTTGCTGAGCATTTTGTTTTTAGTTTTCATGCTAGATAAAGTAAGTTACTATGTTTTAAAGGATGTAGAAACAGGGGAGGTGAAAAACTTCCACGGCAAACATTTATAGTATCAATGTTGGGGTGGTGCCTGTGGCTCAGTGGGTAGGGTGCCAGACCCATATACCGAGGGTGGTGGGTTTGAACCTGGCTCTGGCCAAACTGCAACAAAAATCAACAGCTGTTATAAAATTATGGTAGGGGCACTGATTTGATGTTTTACTTACGTATATTTTATTAAATTTTGCAATCTGTCTTGCCCATGACCTTCCTTTCTCTCTGGCCCCTACCCTTCAGGTAAACTCACTGCATTCTAAGAGCTTTGTTTTGCCACCTCAAAGCAAGAAGCATAAAACCCGGCAGTTTTGGCAGAGTATCTAGGAACTTGTTAATCATTGACTCGTGGAGAAAGTCACATTTTCCCTCCATTAAAAGTAGTATTAACATAGCACACAAATCCGTATTAGCTGAACAGATTCTGAAAGTACAAGCACATACTACCACTACCCCAGCTACACACAGGCTTTCAGGGGTGACCAAGAAATGTAGGGTAATTAAAACTCCTGAAATCAGGCAATCCACCCATCTCAACCTCCTAAAGTGCTGGATTACAGGCATAAGCCACTGTGCCAGTTTTTCTATTTTTAGTAGAGACTGGGTCTCAGTCTTATTCAGGCTGATCTCAAGTGCCTGAGCGCAAGCAATCCACCCACCTCTGCCTTCAGAGTGCTAGGATTACAGGTGTGAGCCCCTGCACCTGGCCAATCAACAGCAATTTAAAAAATCCTTAATGAACTCTTTAATTCATTACAATGTAAAGCTTTTTAACTTTTGGTTTAGAATTTAGTATTTTAAGATTTTATCTTGAAAAGAAAATTGATATATGGTAGCATAAAATTAATATTACAAAGGGCTTATCTCTGAGAGTCAGCTTCCGAAGGTGGAGCTGTCCATTCATTCTTCTTCACCACGCAGCATTCCACGGAACTGGAAGAACCTGTAAAAAAGATCGTGATCATTATTTTCCTGACCGACTTTTGTAGAGTAACTCCCTAGCACAGGTCAGGTAATCTCCTTCTATATAGATCATCCTGAACTTCCTAAAATGAAATCTGAGATCCATTTTACTTGAAAGGTTTAAATATAGCTCCCCCTTAAATTGGAACCTTACAGCTATTCGAGTGGAATTAGAGAGTTCTAAGCCTTCTGCTAAATTGAATGCAGAAAACTAGGCATCTGCTCAGCTTTGAGTGTATGAAGTCCTCAAGTGAGCTCACCTTCAGGTAGAGGTCACAGTATTTACTGTTGTGGCTGTTTGTGGTTATGGTACATTGGCAGAGGGTTATAGTGGACCCAGTGTTCACTGACTAATGACCCCTGTTTTTATTAGGGTGCCTGAGGTGGTTCGGGAGCTCCCAGTGGCTTCACCTGTGGATGACTTCAAGCAGCCTCGTTACAGCAGCAGCAGTAACATTGAGACACCTTCAAAAAGGGCTCCCACTAAGGGCAGAGCAGGAAAGACGAGGAGAACGGAGCAAGACCACTACGAGACGGACTACACAACTGGTGGCGAGTCCTGTGATGAGCTGGAGGAGGACTGGATCAGGTAGGGCTGCTCTCTTCTCCCTGGGGCCATGTACACCTTTTGATTGTTATGGGGGTGCCCATCAGATTTTGGAATTACTTCCTCTTAAACTGGGTCAGTGGAATAATTTCATCCTTTGCCAACCAGGAATAGAGACAGTTTTTTGTGCTGTGTTGGTTTCTTCTCTAGTACCTTTTCATAAAGGTATTAAGATTGTCCTAGCACTCTGGGAGGTCAAGGCAGGTGGATTGCTTGAGCTCAGGAGTTCAAGACCAGTCTGAACAAGAGCCAGACCCAGTCTCTAAAACTAGCTGGGCATTTTGGTGGGTGCCTATAGTCCCAGCTACTTGGGAGGCTGAGGCATGAGGATTGCTTGAGCCCAAGAGTTTGAGGTTGCTGTGAGTTATGAGGACACAGCACACTGGGGAGAGCGACGAAGTGAGTCTGTGTCTCAGGGGGAAAAAAAAAGGAATATACTTGGTACTGTGCTTCTCCGAAAGTAAGACACTGTCTTATATTTATTTTTTCTCAAGAAGACACACTAGGGCTTATTTTCAGGGGATGTCTTATTTTTATTAAGTATAATACAACAATCTACATTTATTCAAATACAGTTAAGTCATCTTCTTCTGGAACCTGACAGGGGGAGCTGACCTTGGTGGTGGGGCTGGCACTAGTGATGCGTGAACTCCTTTCCCCTGGCCGTTTGCACATGCGCAATAGGATGCCTGCAACCAGTGCAAATGGCTCAGAGAAAGGAGCTGTGACAGATAAGTTATTCCAGTCTTCTTACAGCTCCACGCAAAATGCACAGCTAACCTATGCAGATATGCTGCATAGCCATGCCCATCAGTAGGTCTTATTATGGGAGCAGGGCTTATATTTAACAAATGAATAGAAATCCTGCAAGGGGCTCGGTGCCTGTGGCTCAAGTGGCTAAGGCGCCAGCCACATACACCTAAGGTGCCGGGTTTGAATCCAGCCCAGGCCCGCCAAACAACGATGGCTGCAACCAAAATATAGCCGGGTGTTGTGACAGGCGCCTGTGGTCCCAGCTACTTGGGAGGCTGAGGCAGGAG